CGCCATAAGCTGGACGAATTGATGGTCGCATTCACTATGTCACTCCGAGTGCCTTTTGACACAACAGGGAGAATCTTGGTTGCGTCATAAGCATTGGCAATTATCACAGACCCTATTAAATTATTCAATAGAATTGAGTGTAGATGAAATTTTAAATAATTAAAATGTATTTAAATTAATTTAAAAAATATACCATCATTCATGGATTTCGCTCGGCACATTTGAAGTATAATAACTTTGTCCTCTCCTGCAGTGGACTGCTTCATTGCCTCGAGCAAAACATCCACATATTCTTCCCATAGGGTGCAAAGCAATTGGCAGCCACTAAGATAATAAAAATAGGAACATTACATAAAGATTTTATAATATTTAGATAATTAAAATTCATAGCAAAATTCGGAAATTTACACTTACCGAAAATCTTCAAGAAGAATGTCAATAAATCTCTTCTCTACCCCTCTCGACATTGCTTTTTGGACGCTTTGAAAAAACACAACTCGGCCAATGACATCTAGAATTCCATATAAATGTACCTTTAGAAATAATTAAGTGCAAGAAAAGTCTAAATAAAAATTTATAAAGTATATATATGTTACCAATTAGCCTTGAGGAGTCTATGCAAGATGGATTTGCTATATCACCGAAATCCTTGAAATTAATCATGAACCTTGGGTAATCTTCATCATAGACCTCCTTAATTTCAGTTTCCTCATTGAACAAAAGCTGCTCATTTTTGGGAGTTGTTTTGAAGATGTTGTTATCAGCTTCAACTATGAAGTTCTTTATTCCATATGTATTGCCTTCACCATTGATCAATAGTCCAAAATTTTCAACCAATACGTCGGGTGCGGATGCATGGATTCCCTCGCCCTGAAAAAAAATAATTAAAAAAAATAATTAAAAATCATGAATTGGTGTACCAAAAAAAATAATAATAATAGAATATATGTCAAATAATTAATAAAGTAAAAATTATGATGTCTACCTTGACATCATGAAACACAAATTCTAAACTTGATTCACTTTTCTTGGGATAAAACCTTATTAATCTCAAAATAGCAGTTTTAGTTTTGTTTTTGGCAAGATAAGTTAGATTATCAAAGTAGGAAGACATTTTTGAAATGAATTTTCTGTGGCTGAAAAACTGAAATGAGGGGGATAGTTGTTTGGGAAATGGAGTGATTAGAAATTGAAAAATGTTTTAGTATTTATAGATTCTAAAAACGTGTGTGTATCCATGATTTCAGCTCCAAAATAATTGTGATAGTCAATTTTATTTATTTACATCAAATTATGATTAATTTGGTTATAAATATTATTAAATTGCATGAGTAAAAAACGTTTTGTATCTCCATAATTTATGTGAAAAATAATTCTGCCTTGGTCAAGTTTATTTAATTAGATCAAATTCATGATTAATGAGAATTTGACTTTTATT